GGGGGGGGGTGTCCATGTGTGTGTGTGTGTGTGCGTGTGGATGTGTGTGTGTATGGTGTGTTTGCGTGTGTACGTGTCTATGTGTGTGTGTATGTGTGTCCCTGTGTGTGTGTGCCTTTATAGCTTTTTAGCGAGCTAAAGCTAAAAAAAAGCAGGCATCAAGGCTACTAAAACGTCGCTTACAAATACAGGGCATTAAGTTAATTTAAAGTTATTTTTGTCCTTGTTTGATACTGTGGAACGGGTATTTTAAACTAAATGTACTTGTATGGTAGTATCTATTTTAAATAAAAAAGAACCATTACTTAAAAACATGCTTGGAATAAAACTCCGATTTCTTGTTATCTGCCAAACCCATAAAATAGATCTACACTCTTTAACATTTTGCACACTGCAGCTGTGCTGACCGGCACAAGAATTCCCGGTCCTGTAACTTCTTCCGGGAGTTTCATGACCGTTCGACTTGTCACCGATGAGACAATAACTTGGAAGGGATTTCAGGTCAACTATACAGCGGAAGATAAAGGTAACTGATCAAACTTACAGCTTTCTTACGTGTGTGTTCTACCCTTTGAATCAGGTCCATATAAAAACATGTGTTAAGTTTAACAAACGTACCCAAGTGTCCTACTGTCGCTTTTTCGGCGTCCTTTTTACCTTACCATAATGCTGGCGTCCTAAATGATCACTTTTTGTAATGCTAAATGTTTAACAAATTTAGGTATGTATCCATTTTTGTATTTATAAATTGCCACAGGGGCAACGAGGTCCCATCGTCTACAATATACTTCTCTCTCGTCTTCTTTTTCTAGTTTTTGCTAATTGTGAGGTCGGCGAGTACCGGTGTGCTGACGGTGTGACCTGTATAGACGCCTGGAAACGGTGTGACGGAAACAACGACTGCAGAGACGGGAGTGATGAGGATGCAGCAAACTGTGGTTAGTACGAAAAATGTAGTATGGGACTATCATTGTTCTTCCATGTACTGCACGTGCACAACTATGGAGCCATCATAGCGCAGCTGCGTTGCAGAGGCTTTCAAAAGCATCATGTCACAGCCTCGCACCACTAGTAACAGTCTGCTCTTAGCCCAGCTGGGTATCGACACCTTCGATGCCAGGAGGTGAAAGTTGACCCATTTTTTTGCGGTCGCCTCCTGACGTCGTGTAACGACATTATCAGTTTGCTTCTACGGTCTGATGCCTTCCCGACTAGCCAGTTTTGGCGGCGATATTGCCAGCTGGTCCGCAGACCATAGCTAGGCCTCGTCTCGGATTTTTTTAAAATTTAGTTATCATTTCACTCCATACTGAAGTATGGAGTGAAATACTGTTTTTATGGCTTCGTGGTCTGGTGAAACCATATTATTTCTCTGATGTTTCTTCTCCTCCATCTCCTCCTGCCATTTCTTTAAATGGATTCAGCTTCTTCATTTTGGGGCCTAAAGACCTGAAATTTGGTATGGAGGTACAGTGGGCAAATGCCCTCAGGCGTTTTTTTTTTAATTCTTGTGATAAAGGCTTTTAGAATGGTTTTATTCGAGTTTTTTGGCTGTATTATAGCATATGTATTACTGTGTCAGTGGGCAGTGTTAACCACATTTGGGCATGAGTCATCACAATGGAATGCAGGGCATCAACCAATAGGCATGCAGCTTTCCTCTCTTCTTCTTGCTGATTGGCTGTTGGGATTTAACTTGATTAACACCTGCACAGAGCATTTCCACCTGCACAGTGCATTTCTTGCTGATTGGCTGTTGGGATGTAACTTGATTTACACCTGCAGAGAGCATTTCCATACTGACAGTATGTCTGTATTCAAGTGTTTTGGTAGGTATTTCAAGCTTTCCTGCTCCAGCATTGGAATGCGGGGCATGAACGTTTTTTTTTTTTTTTTTGAAAATCAACAGTTTGCATTATGCAATTAAAAATCCTAACCAATAATGTAGGGAATAGCTAGCCAACTGTTGTAGTCTTAGTTGTATGCTACTTCATATTATAGTATCATACAATATAAAGCATTGTTTTCCCTTGTGTTTCTCATTCTTTCCCTGCCATGTCGTAAAATGTGGTGAAGCAATCGCTGTATTTGCTCCAAAGCAAATATTGGCCTTTCTAGTTACTGATGATTCTTCTTCTTCTCCTTCTCCTCCTGCCACTTCTTTTAATTTATTTAACTCCTTCATTTTTGGGCAAAATGACCTTAAATTTCGTATAGAGGTAGAATGGGTAAATACCCCTAGGCGTTTTTTTTTTAATTTTGTTGATACAAGCTTTTACAATTGTTTTATTTGCTTTTTAGCTGTTCCCATAGGAAAGTATTGTGTGGGCGTGCGCGCGTGACGTAATAAGAAAGGAATTCGGGAGCAGGCCCATATATGGGCATGCACGCAGGTGTGGTCTTGTCTGCAGATGTGGGTGTTGATTGGCTTTTGGCTAATTGATTTATTTTCAACCATTTTCACGTACAATATGGGGATTGTCAGTGCGGCTGGTCCACGCGGCCTCGACCGTGGGCAATTGATGTTTACTATTGGATACTTTGATATTTGATACCGATTCGTGTGATTCCTATAAACATTTCTCCTAACTACGAACTAGTTGGAAAAATGTTAGATGCATGGATGCCTGTATATGATTTAACAACACTGAAAATCTGACGCTAAAACTGACAGACATTTCGCTCTTCTCTGTTGGAACAACGCAACGCAAGCGGGAGGTCAATGACCTGCGCCCCGCGAGTACTGTAAACAACGGTACGTAATGTGTATCGTCGGCGCGCGCGCCACGGTATCAACAATTTTTGGCGACGCCTCAGGGGCGGAGGCATTTGTGTAAGTACTACGATCGCTTTGAAAGAATTTCAAAAATTGCATGAATGCATTCCCTAGGGAATTGGTTTTGAGGTAGCCTCCGGCCTTGTGGTCATCGGAACAAGCAGGAAAGGCTTATGTTACCATGCATGCAATAGCACCTTTTCGGGCAAACTGTGGCTTTTTGCACACAGACTATTAATGATTGTCTTTATTGATATTTGAAATATGTTTTCTTCTATCAAGAGAGAACAGATTTCTTGCTCAGGAGCAGCATATGCAAGCATATAATACTTCAAATATGTTTTTAGTTGCAACTATATGATGCTGGTCGTTTTTTTATAACTTTACTGTGTGACACATGTAGTGTAACAGTGATGTTTTGTGTAAGGAATTTTATTCACTTGTGTGTTTTCTATCATGTATGTTTGTGTCAGTCTTGCTTTTTTATTTATCATTTTCTTCGCTTTCATGATGCTGTTGCATTCCATGCTTGTTTTTCAATTTTCTTGGCTGCAAAACATGAATGCACACCCCAATCCTTCCATGACTAGGTTTCATGCTAAGGTTTCATGCTAGCCAGTGAACTCCTGCTGTAGTCTGCATCTCAGGGTGGACATGGCGAAGTTTACCTGTGGGTATAAAGAGAGAAAAGAGCATAAATGAATCTATGCCAACTTTGGCCAGCTTTGATTAACTTAAATTAACAAGATTTAGGGTCATGAATGTAAATATGCAAAGCATGTGAGTCGATTAATTTTACAGAATGCTATGAAGCAGACACATATATATAACACATTTTCTGGCAATGAAAATTGCGACATCATGAAGTATACATGCCGTATAGGATTTTGCTGCCAGGTAATTATGAATAGCCTGCGTGCCGGACCCCAGCACTTAGAACAAGGAGCTTAACTCCTTGCTTGGAATAAAGAAAGTGCTTCTTCTTTCTGAGACACTTGACCAGGCCTCTATACTGCCCAACACGCCACAGTTTCGGAGCTGGCTTCCTTCTTCAGTTTATCTAGACGTATAAATTAGACCCCAGCTGCAAATTCTGTGTTCCAGGCGTGAGATTTCCCTGACTGAATTGAGTATCGTGGCACAGGGGCCTGGCACCCAGGCTACACAGTTTTCCCGGCAATGACATCATAGTAAATATGGTACCGTATTTCAAAACACACAGCTTTTCATGAAAGAAGTACTATAGATATGCGAACATTGCCTAACCATCGTGGTTATGTACAATATTGCATGATGATGAAATAAGGATGGTTAGGCACTCACCAGGTATTTTGTTCCACTTCTTGATTGTATTCTTGAGTAACTGCTGTGTTTGTCGTCATGTAGAGCTGAAAGAAACAGTGTAGAACAGGTTAGCAAAGTTTGATCCATTCTAGGGTTGTGTTATTAAGCATAGTTCGACAGCGTTCAGCTTGACTGCGGATGTGAAACTTGACCTTATTATGTTGGGATGTCAGAATACGGGGAAATAATATCAAGTTACAATTGTGTGAATTATATTAAGTTGTTAAAACCAAAATGGTGTTGACCTAGAGATAAGTATACAACGTACTGAAACCGCCTCTGTGCACTGAGATGGTCTCCGCTGTTCGGAACCCTGCGTCGTTGGCAGGTGCGGTCAGTTTAGCGCGGACAGGGCATAACCTTATATGCCGGCACTGGTGTTCAGTGTAGAACAGTAGGGTATCCCTCTCTGCATGTCTGAGGTTTACTGGAAAGAAAGACAAAACAACGCCCGGGGTTATTGATCAGGAGAGCCTTGACGGAGAGAATTAAGGGTAAGGCCGGAAAACCCCGGCGGAACTGGGCGTCAGGTGGCTCAAACTTTACATAAACCAGAATTCCAACGTTCTTTCACACGTCGGACGAAAGAAAACCAGCCGCTAAAATGAGCAGCTATAAAAACAATTCACTAACACACTTATCGTCGATACCTGATAAAGACCGGTTGGATTTATAATGAAATACTGACCGAATTCTGTAACGCAAAATGCACGGAATAAACCACACAAACAACAAGATGAGTGAAGTCAGAAAAACGGGTGTTAGAATCTTCAAAATATATTTCCAAAAATAATTTCATCAGGTATTATACTAAATTACTAAGTACTAAGTGAGTGCTAAATTACTCCAGAATAGCCTGGCAGCCAGACCATGTATGCTTCCGGTATCTCACGGTGGTGCTGGCAGCACTGCCCGCCCGCCCAGGGGTATTTTATGCAGGGGTATTTTACCGGGTCGGTTACAGGACGACAATAATTAGAAACTTTCAAAGGCCAGCTGGAAAGATCTGGCATATCAGCAGCGTATGGCTCGGGCCTGCAAAATATTCCTAAGCCACTAATATGAACAGAAAGGTTTTGTCGGAAAGGGTAGAATATGAAGTTATAAGGCCGGTGGAACTTAACGTCATGTGGCACACACTTTTAACGCGAAAGCTCCTTGATTAAACTAAAATTCTCTCTACGCGTGTGGTAACCAGCCAACAAGCAACTTTAAACTTTCTCTAACTCAGTGATCGACAATGATGTATCAATCAGTCATAATATAACAACACCCAAATTCTGACACCGGAACTTTGAAGACACAATCAAGTACTGTACTTTGCTAACATCACACAAATAAAACGTTCAAGTCACACTGACTACATGATCGATACTCTGCGCGGCTGATATATACGGCCATCGAATCAGTTAACAAGAATTTGTAATTCAAAATTTCCCCAAACCACTGCAAGTGATACTAGTACTAGGAACAAATTAGTCAATAAGCTGCTAGTAAAGAAAGGGGTAAAGCCGATTAGATTCTCTGACTAAGCGCCCCAATTTTATGCCCTTGTAACACGCCTCATTGAAGGCGAAAAACCTATTCTAGTTTTCTACTCTGAGGCACAGTTTTTCCAAGGTTAGTAGAACTGTTCCTCCTTGGCACTATAGGTCTGAATCTTTGTCAGAAACTGTAGTGTACGTGATAAATGGCGTCACACATATACTAAATAGTGATGACCCATTTAAAACCACAATAAGGAAATACCCGGGACACAACAACATAGCGAGATCCAAGAACACCAGAAAAACATAGAAAAAAATGTATAAATCTAAAAAAAAAGTCTGCTTGAAAAATACCAAGAATTTCAAACAGAAAGAGACGAAAGTTTACTTCACATACGTATACAGAGTACAAAGCACATACTAGTACACGAGAAAATAGCGAGTGGGTCAAGGAACTGTTATGAAATACGGGCGACTGTCGGTCAAGATACTAGTAGCCTGGTAGCCAGACAAAGGCAAACTTCCCAAAAAATTTCTCTACGTATACGGTGACGAGTGATCAACCCGCCCAGCAAGTTCAGGATATAACAAGATGTAGGTTTGTTGTCCACAGTCAAGTAAAACACTTAACAAATAGACATGTGGCACTGCAAAAACACGACTGTGATAGCAAAATTTACACTGATACGATGATGGCATATTTCAACATAGGAAGTAACATTAAAACATACCTTTTCAATAGCTTCAACCTGTCCTTCGTAGGTTCCTCTGTACCTCTACGGCTGGGGGTACTGTCCGCCCGCCCGGCTGCCCGCTCCCCGCTGGCCCGCCCGGCCGTCCGCCTGCACTCTGCTTGCCCGGCCATTCCTGTCCGATCTGGTCCCCGCTCGCCCCGACTATCCAAAGGTTAATGGGTTTTCAGAATTCAGAGATTTTTACACTTTCCACTCGGTTGAAAACAGTGAGTCGTTCATTTGCTTGGAATTGATAGGGTCTATAAACTAAAGAAGGCTGTAGAGCATTATTATTATGAACATATAGGAAAGTACACAAAACATTTGAGAATATAGCGATTTTGGCCCTTTAGTAAGATACCTTTTGCTATCTATAAGGGCAAATAGTTTCATGGATAAATCAGTACAAAATAACCTACAAGTGAACGTTCTGAAACATATTGGCCTAACATGTCTTACAGCATTTGTGTGCACACATTCAAGTTACCCAACAAAGTAATACTAACCTGATTCTGTCGGTGGAATTCCGAAGGTTCACTGGGGAAGGTTTCCTCAGAAGCCACGGGAATGGTCCTCTTTTCAAGACTATTAGATCATCGCATCAGAGAACACGTCTGTTCCATCACACACCTTCAGCCGGACTGAGGTTTGGGACTGGAGTTTGCGAGAAAGAGACTGGAAACTCCGCCCCCTAGTCAGTATCATGCTTCCTAGATCCAATCCTATTGGCCTATCTTAGAATAACAGTAACCTAAACTGGGGGTTTCCATTACCTCAGAGTAATGTACACCGGGCTATCCAGTGTCCAGCGTGATTAATTATTGTCACCTGTCATCCCGCACACCATGGATGGAGAGCACAGGTTCAAGCAAAGGTCAACGACCCCTTGAACAGGGATCTGGCCCGCGAGGAGTGGGTTTATTTAAACAGATCACACAGAAAGAAGAAATTATCTGTATTCTAGGAACCCAGGATAGGTCAAAGAATCACAAGTTAAGTCCAGTTTCTGATAGAGTGAAGTGGAAAGTGTTCAAGCGGGAACTTCACCATATATTATAGTAAAGTAAGTAAGTACATGTATGTCATTATATCGCCGGGGAAGAACAGCTGATTTCTCCTATACGTGTCTTCGGTATGTAAGGGTGCGGTCAAGGTCAACGCCAAATACCTGGTAGCTTGAGTGAACTCGGTTCCGATGGGTGACCCTTACAAGTTCGTAAGATAGCTGCCGATGTTGTAGATGTACGTACCCGGAGCAATGACACAGGAGCCAGAGCTATATAGTGACGTGACTGTATTCTCTCCTCTCCGATTCTAACTCTCTCTTTTGACTACTCGAGTACATGGGTTTTATATCCTCTATCCACCTACACACAGATTTCTTGGAACAAGGGCATCATACTTCCTGTATCAGCTTCATTAGGCATTAGTGGAAAAGCCCTGACCATTACCAAATAAGGCAATTATGTCCAGCCACTGAGACCCTGGTCCCCTACCGTCAGGACCCCATTAGTTCTTCCTGGGTCATTAACTAGATGTCTCTCAAAGATCTCTTACATTTCTCAGAACAGGGGAAAGTGATTCAGTACAAGAACAAGAAAGTGTTTTTCCAGCCTATGGTACAAGAAACGCATATAACCTAAGATACTTATTCTTATCAATATACTACAGGCTAGAGCACCCTATTACAGGTACATGCATATACATGTAGCCCCAAGACAAATAAAAAGGAGTGAATCCTATCTAGCGATTCTAATTTTTTAAGCGTTTAAGAAACACAACATAAATTTGCCTGGGCCTACAAAACTGATTTTGAACCCCTGGTGGCTTTCCTCGTACTGTAGCAGAAATTCTGGATTCTTTCTAAGGCCACAGCAAGTAAATTTTATGGATGACATCCGCGCGCGCATTAATTTTCGTCTGATTTCGGAAAAAAAAAAACAAATTTTGTTGCCTTCTGACAGTGGTCAACATGCCAAAAATGGAGAAGGGGCTGTAGTACTTACCTCCATGGAGCTAGCTCCAAGGAGCTAGCTCCATGGAGGTGAGTAGTACAGCCCTGCGGCAGATTAATTTCCAGCTCCATGGAGCTAGCTCTACGCACTATGAATGCATATACGTGGTTCACGTCACCTTCAAGAAAAATGCATATACATGGTTCACGTCACCTTCAAGAAAAAACAGAAAAAAACAATAGGGGCTGTACTAATCGCCTCTATGGAGATAGCTCTACGCGCTATGAATGCATATACATGGTTCACGTCACCTTCAAGAAAAAATGGCATGGCCACTATAGAGCCAGCTCCATGGAGGTGAGTAGTACAGCCCTGCGGCAGATTAATTTAATTTCCAGCTCCATGGAGATAGCTCTACGCACTATGAATGCATATACATGGTTCACGTCACCTTCAAGAAAAAATGGCATGGCCTCTATAGAGCCAGCTCCATGGAGGTTGAGTAGTACAGCCTTGCGACAGATTTTTTTTCCCAGCTCCATGGAGCTAGCTCTGTGCACTGTTAATGCATATACACGGTTCACGTCAACTCGAAGAAAAGTTGGCCTCTATAAAGCTCGCTCCATGCACTATGAAAGCATATACATGGTTCACGTCACCTTAAAAAATTGATCTCCATGGAGCTAGCTCCTTGGAGCTGGCTCCATGCACTATGAATGCATTTACGTGGTTCACGTCACCTTCAAGAAAATGAAATTGACCTCTATAGAGCCAGCTCCATGGAGGTGAGTAGTACAGCCCTGAGGCATTGTTTTTGGTAGCTCCATCTTTTCCGATACCCATCCGGCCTGTAGCTGCATCGTGTTCTTCGCGTTGTCAATATCAAAAACCGCGTCACCATGTGCGTGTGAAATACGGTGAATAAAGGATACAAAAGAGATGTTTTAACAGATTATTTTATGACAGGAAGGTCGTAAACAACTCTAATTGTGTCCGTCTAGACAAAGGTTTTACACTTATGTGTCCGTTTGTACTGAAAAAAATGAATACAGAATAACGCTGTGAACAGTGGAAATTCCCCCCTTTTTTCGATATCCTGTTTAGATATAAGAAACGAAC